TGAGAAACCTCTTCCAAACCCCTTTTAAGCTTTAGAACTTGCCTGCAAGGCAGGTAGTCATGTCAGTGGCTCATGCCTGTAATTCTAGTTCTTTGGGAGGTCAATGCAAGTCCAAGAGTTCGAGACCAGCTTAGGTAACATAGTGAAACCCTATCTCTACAAAAAAATTTAAAAATTAGCTGGGCACGGTAGTACACGCCTGTAGTCCCAGCTACACAGGAGGCTAAGAGGTGGGAGGATCACTGGAACCCGGGAGGTCAAGGCTGCAGTGAGCCATGATCACATCACTGCATTACAGCCTGGGTCACAGAGTAAGTCCCTGTCCCAAAAAAAGGTGGGGAAAAGTAGGAATGTCTGCTGCTATTGTACAGGCTAAGTTAGAGTTACACAAAGAGAAAATGGCAAGTGTACTTCAGGGCAAGAGAGAGGTAAGGTAGGTCCTCAGGCACCTGTAATTGTATACAAACGGTTAATGGATTTTTTTAAAAATGGAAGTAGAAAATGAATGAATGCTAACTCTACTCTTGACTCTGGAAGATGAGGTCTAATTCCAATCCAGGCTCCACATTGCAGGTTTTGTTGATAAACGCAATAGGATAGTTCTGGAAGCAAGCAATTCTGGTGATTCAGTGTATTCCAGGACTCCCAGTGACAACTCTTTCTTACCCTAGAAAATGCTGTGTATTAACTCTTTGTAACTTTGGTGTAAATCCACATTGTCACAGCTGTCCTGACCAGGTCCAGGTCCAGGACATTTTTTTTTTTTTTTGAAACAAATCCTGGTTTAAATATAAATGAAAATACAGAATATACTGTAAAGCTTAAGAATCAACACTAATTCATGTGTATCTGGGGGCTGAATCCTTATCTGGACTCCTGGCATCTTCCATCTGAAAACTTCTTAGTTCAGAGAGTAATAATTCTGTATATAAAAGAAATAATATATAACAGGCTTTGCTATGAAAAATACGTTGTCAGCTATGGGGGCTGCCTATTTATTTATTTATTTGGAGACAGAGTCTTGCTCTGTCACCAGGCTAGTGTGCAGTGGTGCTATCTCAATTCTCCTGCCTCAGTCTCCCAAGTAGATGGGATTAAAGGCACGTACCACCACACACAGCTAATTTTATTTTTAGTAGAGACGGGGTTTCACCATGTTGGCCAGGATGGTCCTGCTCTGCCCTCCCAAAGTGCTGGGATTACAGGCGTGAGCCACCACGCCCGGCCCCTTTCATGAAATTACTGGTACAGAGCAACTATGTCTTTTTGTGTTTTATGACCGATTACAATCTATAAAATACTATGGCATACATATTTTTTGTAGTTGTACTTAGATTCTATTAAAGTTTCATTTTAGGAGATATTATTAATGACTCGGCCCAGAGAAAATTATAATATCTACAAGTTTTAAATACAACATTGGAAAATGTACTCAGTATACTGGATATCTGATATGCAGAACTTACTTTTATTGTTATAGTTGGTGGTATTACTGAATCGATCAAGTAGATGACAAATCAAAATCATACAGTCTTCAGGGATCAATTATTATTATTTTCTTTGAGACTGAGTTTTGTTCTTGTTGCCCAGGCTGGAGTGCAATGGTGCAATCTTGGCTCACTGCAACCTCTGCCTCCCAGGTTCAAGTGATTCTCCTGCCTCAGCCTCCTGAGTAGCTAGGATTACAGGTATGCACCACCGCACCTGGCTAATTTTGTATTTTTAGTAGAGACAGGGTTTCTCCATATTGGTCAGTCTGGTCTCATTGACCTCAGGTGATCTGCCCGCTTCAGCTTCCCGGAATGCTGGGATTACAGGCGTGAGACACCGCACCCAGCCTGAACTTTTATTCTATAATCCTGTTACAGAATAAAAAAGGGGGAGGTATAGAGTGTTGCAAAGTTTTATGACAATTTTCGTAGCTAGAAGTATCTGAAATTAAAGGAGAAAGAAAAGCATACAAGTAAATACCTATCAACATAAGTCAGTAATACTATTTCCATCTATGGTAATCCAAAAAATAAAAGTCTATATTGAAAGATAAGAAGCAGTGTCCAAATACAACACTCCAGTTGGGTCATTTTCTTCTAATTTATTATTTTCTATTTAAATAAACAAAGGCAACTGCATTACCATCTTGCTCTTAAATAAGAAGATAACTGGAAATGACTGGTGAAATTATTAACTTAAATCTTATTTTTTCAGTCCTTGACTAACTTAAGTGACTAAGTAAGCATTTAAATATGACTTCTATTATCGGCATTCAGTAGCTAATAACCATCACTCCAATTGGTTACCCATTAATATTATATCAACAACTTGACAAAATATACAAATGTTCTAAGTTTGAAAAAACTACTGTTTCAAAGGTCAGAAACCTAGCTTTGAACCCACACAACCATGGTTAAGGTTAGGACATGCTGTGTACTGAGTAAATTTAAAGGCATTAAATTTAATTCCTCAGTACCCCTTAGAGATCAATGCTGGCATTTATGATTCCCTAAAACGGACAGAGATACTTACGTCCCAATTCTCACATCTCAAGATTCACATAAATAGTGTCAACTGCCTTTGAAATCACTGCCAAGTATTAATTTTAAAAACCATCTAATGATACTCATTTCCTAACTTTTAACCCTTATTCTCATCATGATCACTCATTACAAAACTCATCCACTTTGTCCCAAGTAGAAGCAAATTATCTGATAACTCTCCATCACCTCAATAAACTACTTGCCCCTGTACTTGCAAAGCTAGCAAAGTCAAGTATAGAAAATCTTAAGATAAAAGGGCTAAGAAGGCATAGAGACCTTGGGTAGTCCCGCAGTTCTATATACTGCCTAGAAGCACAGTAACAAATTAGCAATAACAGATAGTAATTGTCCTAATCTAGGTCAATACAACAGCCAAAACTTTGTAAACGCTTTCTTTGGCTCTTCCTGGAGATCAACACTGTTTTTAAAATGCTGTAGCATGAAAGGGCTTACTAGCAACAGAAGTGTTCAAAAATACTTATTTATCTATTATCTTTTATTCAAGAATCTTAAAAATCACCTAATACGAATCAATTCAATAACTGAGAGAGGTAGGTACTAAGGACTGCACAGGCCAAGAAGAGAAATTAGGAGTATGTGCTACTGAACAATCTTGGTAAGCTAAAGACTCTGATGACTTATATAGCTCTGAGTATATAAGATAAAATATTATCTACATGCCTTCAAACAAATCTAAATTTAGACATAACTATTTAGACATATTCTTACTGTATTTCATTTGTACTTACACTTAATTTTGCTGAAGTCTGATTTACTGAAGTTTGATTTTTGAAGATACTGTTTAGTCAATGATTTGACCCAGAGAAAAATGTGGAATATGTCTGATGTAATATTATTTTAATACTTTGAAACTGAACATTACATAGTATTTTAGATATCTTACTTTGAATCTATTATTTTAAATGTTAGATTAAAAGTCTACAGTATCACATATACCCATTATTTGAGTAATGTTTCCATTTGAGTCGAAGGATTTATGCTAAGCTATATAGACCATCTTCTAGAATTCTGAGATGGATACATGAGGGAAGGTGCCATCGATAGCCATAAAACTATTTTGTATGTATGTAAATTTAATGAACCTACAAAAGCATCAAACTCCTGTCCTCGGCCTCTTTAGCACCATCCTCCAACCAAGTTAACTGGTCCAAACTGTTATATAGGACAGTGATAACTACAGGAATAAGCACAAAGAAAGATTCTATCATGTTAAAGTTTCACAGATACGACGAGTTTACAATTCAAATTCCCATGTCCTGAAAAATTACCTCTTAAATAACTCACCACTCAAATCATAGAAGTGCAATAATCTGAAATTATTTTAACCAAAAGACTTAAGGAAATAACCAATTACTACAATTGATGTTCACTGTGAGTAATATCTAGCTATATAAAATATAGCTATAGAAAACCAGAACTCAGTGAAACATGACAATTTTAAAGCAAGAAATTTGCTTGAGATTCCTATCAGTAGTCATTAAATGGGTAAATATTAAAGATTTACATTCAAGTGCTTGAAGGGCTACTGCAGAGAATATCAATTACTAAAAACCTTTGCTCAGATGCCTGTCAGGCATATTAAAGATGGGATGATGTGTGAACCACCAGCAGTGGTATTAAACCCCAATCATTTTCAAGACAAATAAGATTTAGAGCTGTTAAGACATTCTAGAATTTGGTTCTTTGACACTAAAAATGGTATTTTTAAAAAGACCACATATAGTCTGCTGGCATATCATACTAACCATTAGAGGAGGTAGTGACATAAAGTGTTGGATTTAAAATACAAGGTCAGCATTAACTGTAAACAATTCTAAATCATTGTATATAACTCTTTAAAACATATGTAGTGAAAAAGAATTAGAATTCATATAAAACCAGAATTTAGAAAAGCAAAAAATAGAAATATTTAGTGAATTTACTCAAATGAAGGAAGTTTAAATGATACAGAAATGAAAAATATTAGAAATCTATGTACAATAAAAAGTGAATATAAATTAGCCAAGTCCATGGACATTTCCAGTTAAACATTCATACAAATACATATTCACCTTTTTCCTTAGACAGTAATAACACATACATACATGACATGATGATTCTGGCAAAAAAAATCAAATACTAAAACTATTCTCAAGTTTTAAAAATGGTGCAGAGAGTGTTTCAAGAACATTCTACAAGAATGTAAACCCCTGATGTAATTACATGATTTTATCATGCCAGAAGCATGGTTGGTTTTACTTTTTTAAAACAGCTATTGGTATCATAACACATTGGCTTATTAATAATTAAGGCATTTTGCATACACAGTATCTCAATGTGAACAAAAACTTTTAATATTGATTTTTCATGTTTTAAACTTTCAGTCTTTTCAACATAAGAAAATAGCTGCACACATTTAAGTGTTTTTTTTTTTTTTTTTTTTTTTTTTAAAAAAAAAATTTATTATTTTTTTTTTTTTTTTTTTTTTTTTTTTTTTTTTTTTTAATAAAACACAATCTTAAAAAAGTTAACGATGATTGGTCTTGGTGGTTCCTAGTAATAAGTCCTGTCTTATTTTTTCACAAAGTATAAATTATATTCTTATGCAGAATTGCATTAAAATCCATTAGTTCTTAATGTTACCAAATAACCATATAACTCCCAAATGCAACAAAGGTGAACAATCTTCAAAGTGCACTTTCACCTCAATGAAGCTGAAGCTGCTTTCCACTTCAATGTGAAGTAGATTGTTGGAGTTTCATTAGTGGTTTCATTATGTGGCTTTTTAAAAGAAAAAATACTTTTGATTTCTTCCACAGTTCAGTTCTCAGACGAGACTTTTTTGTTGTAAATCATATAGTTCAGGGATCTTTTGAAAAACCAAATGCTCTTTTAGTAGATGAAATCTCTCAATGTAACTGTAATAAATAAGCATCTACATCCTTAGAGGATAAAACAAAAACATTTCATTAGACAGTAAATATGCACATAAACAATCCATTTTCTTTTTCTTTATTTGCTGCTTAATTTGCCTTAGTTTCCTTTTGTGATCTTTTGAAGGTAAAAGACGTGTCTTGTTTAGTGCTTTTATCCGCATTTGTTCAGCACAGGGCCTAGCACATAGTATGTGCTCAATAAATATTTGCCAAGTGCTAAATGAATGTATTGGTTCCTATGCTCAAACACTCTGCTTTTGTAGCTAACATTCACAGAAATTCTATCAGTGCTGTTTACTATCAGTGCTATATTTACTTGAGCCCAGCTTGACAATAGCCTCTTCTTTCAATTTCTTTCCTTTTTTTTTTTTGAGATGGAGTTTGTTTTTGTTGCCCAGGCTGGAGTGCAATGGTGCAATCTTGGCTCAC